AAACAATGAGCAATATAGGGACTTTATCAAATTTCTCTCTCTTGGGGAATATGATAAAGTTCGGAATCCAGTCACACATTCTTTTATATATGCTGACTTGCACCACCTCTTCTAAGTCTCAGAGAATAATACCATCCCAGTATACTCTGCTAGGCTCAGGGACTCTTTTCTTAGGGAAGATAGATTGTTCTGGGCACCATAGCTCAAGAAGGACAAGCTGGAATGCGTTCAGAGCATAGTGGCCAAGGTGGTAAAAGTTCTGGAAGCTGAGCCCTAAGGATGCATAGAGAGCAAGGTATGTTTAGCTTGGAGAAGAGAAGATGGAGAAGTAATGCAATGTGTGTGCATGTTGTGTGCCTTCAAGTTGTTTCCGACTTATGGAGGCCCTATCGTAGGGTTTTCTTGGCAAGTTTCTTCAAAGGGGTTTTGCCATTGCCATCCTCTGATGATGAGAGAGTGTGACTTGTTTCCATGGCCGAGCTGGGATTCAAACCCTTTTCTCCAGAATCAATGGAGCTTATCATACCGCTAAATAAAGCATCTTACCCCTCCCGAATTGAATTTTAATTTGGGCTGCATCTGGGTACTATCGCATGGACCCACCAGCAGAATATAGCCCGGATGCAGCCTGGTTCCCCAGGAGCACTCAGTAAGCCTCTTTTCAAAGTCGGGAGTTTTCCGACTTTGAAAAATGGCCACCAAAGTGCTCCTGGGACCTGGGCTGCATCTAAGCTGTATTCTGCTGGTGGATTCAGCGGCAAAATCCATGCGATAGTACCTAGATGCAGCCCAAATTAGAATTCAATTTGGGACAGGTAAGACACTTTTTTAAGCAGTGTGATAAGCTCCATAGTCCAGTGCTCAAGCTACTATACCACACTCGCTCTCATAGTGATATGAAACCCATTTTTAATTTCCTGAAAGGATGTCATACAGAGGATGGAGTGTGTCTATCTAGAAACTAGAACACAAACCAGTAGATTCCAATTACAAAAAAAAAAGTTTCTGTCTAAACATGGATAGGAAGAAGTTTGACTGGAGTTCAACTCAAGAGGGTGGTGGACAGTTAATACTGTTATAACAGTTACAGTTTTAACAGTATTTTGTTTCAACTCAGCTGTTCCAACTCAAATTTCTCTCTCTTGGGGAATATGATAAAGTTCGGATATAAATAAATACAAAAATAAGTAAAGAGCAGTTCAAGCATCTTGGGGGATTTAACACAGCATAGAATTTTTCTTGCAATTGAAGCCCAAAAAATACAATTTCCCCAGGCTCTGGGATTTGCATGCCATTGTCTTGCTGCTATGGGGAAAGGTCATTGTAACTGAGTGACAATATACATGCTTCACATGGAGAAGGTCCTGACTTCAATCTCTAGCACCTCTAGTTAAGATTAGAAAAGGTTCCTTTCTGAAACCCTGGAGAGACATTGTTGGTCAATGTAGACAAAACCAAGGTAAATGAATTAATGGCATGATATGGTATAAGACAGTTTTGAATGTTTCTATCTGCACAAGAGTGGGGAAACTTGACCTCACATAGATATTGGGAACCCCAGCTCCAATGCCTCCTTATCAGTGGCCATGTTGGAAAGACCTGATTCATTCATTTATTTGATTTATAGTGATTTACAGTGGGCCCTTGGTATCTAGTGTGGTTTGGTTCCAGGACCCACCATGAATACCAAAATCCATGGATCCTCAAGTCCCATTAAAGATAATGATGTAGCAAAATGGTGTCCCTTATATAAAATGGTAAAATCAAGGCTTGCTTTTTGGAATTTATTTATTTTTTGGATTATTTTCAGTGGTTGAATCCATGGATGATTGAATCCATTGATGTTGAATCCATAGATAATCCACGGATATGGTGGGCCAGCTCTATTCAATTTATATAAATATATAATATAATAAAATAAAACTTTATTTATACTCCGCCTTTAGCCAAGGCTGTCAAGGCAGCTTAAAATACGATTTTAAAAACTTATTTATATATTTACACCAATATTCTACATCAGCTACTTAATTATGTATTCATAACTAAGTAGCACCTCCTGCCCTGGTCTCTTCAGTCCATCTTAATAGCCAGTAGCTGGATGGGGTGAAGAAGACCTGCTGAGCTGTTGATCAGGGCACAAGGAGAATAACATTTTCAGCCCTCGCCCACCAGTGAGTGCAACAGGGAATTGCTATGGGGTCCTGCTTCTGATTGTCACAGCCTGGCTCACTGGTGGAAGGAGGTTGGAAATGTCATCCTCCTTGTACCTTGATTGATAGGTGAACAGACCTCCTTTGCCCCATCTGGCTGCTGGCTGTTAATGTGGGCTGGGACTGGGGTCGGCATTTACAGTCTTACAGTAGGAATACACACACACACATGAATGAGAGCCAGTGTGCTGTAGTGGTTTAAGTGTTGGATTACAATTCTGATCTGATCAAGAGCAAGGGTCTGATCTTTGCTCTAGCATAAAAACCCACTGGGTGACCTTGGGCGAGTCACATTCTCTCAGCCTCAGAGGATGGCAGTGGCAAACCCCCTCTGAAGAAACTTGCCAAGAAAACTCTGATAGGATCACCATAAGTCAAAAATGACTTGGAGGCATGCAACAATATACATATACTGACCCCCTTGTCTGTTTTCTTTCTACTGTCAGACAAGATTTTTTTAAAAAAGAGACTCCAGCCTTAAACCAGCTGAAGTAGAAGAATACGCAATGGGAGATATATGAGGGACTATCATAAAGTTCTAATTATCACCTTTAAAAAAATCGGACAGAAAGTTTGTTTTGATTTGTAGTTATTAACTTATGTCTACATAGTCACCATCCAGGTTTACACATTTACCCCAGCATTTCTTGACCTTCCGAACACCGTTATTGTAGAAGTCTGCAGATTGCGCCTTAAACCACTCTTCCATTTCATGAATGACGTCATATGTGTTGTCAAATCAGCAACCCCGCAACAGATTTTTCATTTTTGGGAAAAGAAAAAGTCACTTGGTGATGATAGCACTGACAAAATTTCATCATTATGCTATAATAACTTCCGGGTGATAATTATTACTTTATGATACCCCTGTGTATGTGTTTTTTTGTGTGTGTGTGTGTGCATGCGCGCACACACACATACACATATACACATACTCCAGTTGGAGTAGAAGAATATGCAATGGAAGATCTCTCTCTCTCTCTCTCTCTCTCTCCCTCACTGCATATTCTTCTACTCCAACTGGTTTAAGGCTGGAGTCCTGCTTTAAAAAGAAGATCTTGCCTGCCAGTAGAAAGAGAACAGAGAAGGGATCAGTAGAGCCTTCCTTGAGAGGGAGTTCCATAGCCCAGGAGCAGCTACTGAAAAGGATCTCTCTTGTGTCCTCACCAGATGAGACTGTGGGAATGGTGGTATGAAGAGAAAGCCCTCTCCCAGAGATTTTAAGACTCGGGTAAAAGTTAGTTTTAGGCCAAAAGCTCTGGAGAGCAAAATGTTCCCCACCTATATCTTAGGTAATGCTCTTTCCGGGATTTCTGAGACTCCAAAGTGACCTGTTGTTGTGATTCATATCCTAGTGCACATAGGGCAGACTCAAACAAGTAACTGAGAGGTGGAACCCATGTGTCACACACAATGTTTGCAGGAAGGAGGGTCATGCCAGCTTTATAGCTTTGCTATAATTACAGTGTTTAAACATTATAAGAGTACCTTCTCCCAATTCATCTCTGAGACACATGCTTGTTTTGTCATGCCAGACCAGCCTGTGAGGACTGTGAATGAATTTCTGACTTAAGGTAGCACTTGGTGGAAGGTCATGGAGCTAGTCATATCCTTAAAATAGTTAATGCTTTTTAAAGCAGTTTCTAGGTATAGCCCAGGGCAATGGGTGAATGTGGGAGAGATGCTCAGCAAGAAAAAGGGGACAGAAAAGCTATGTACTTTCAAGACCAGCCTAAAACATTAGGCTGTCCAAGGCAAAGAACAAGATGGTGTCACATCCCAGTCCATAAAAGTTGACTGGCCTGGCTCTGATCATTGTTTCAATTTATACCCCACTCTTTCTCATAGGAACTCAGGGTTGCTAACAATCAACATAAAAGGACACAGTTAAAGTCACAAATTACAAATATCTAAAATGACAAAATTTCAAATGGATTATATGTGTTTTCTAAAATACAACAAAAGCACGAGAAATAAACAACAGGAGAAGTCAAAACAAAAACAGTTCTTTATCTCCCAAAGGTTTTTACATGGTTTTAACTGGTGCCTGAAACTCAAGAGTATGGGGCAGGGGTTGTCAACCTATGGCCCACAGGCCGGGCCTTGCCGTTGCCACACCAAACGGGCGCCATTTTGGATCACCCAACGATGGCGGCACTGTGCGAATTTGCACAGCGCCGGCACCGTTGGGCCTTCAAAAATGGCGCCCCACGTCGTGCGCATGTGCATGCGCGCAATGCAGAATGCCATTTTGGAACACCCAACGGCGCCCCCCACATGCTCCTGGTGCCATTTCTCCCCCCTCCCGCCCCCCGGCAAAAAAAAGTTGCCGACCCCTGGTATGGGGGGCAACCAGATCGCTAGTGGAAGGGAATGCTATAACTTGAGGGCCAACAGCAAAAAAGCCCTGCCTTGTGCAGTATCTCTAGTGGCTGTGCTACTCTGGAGTACCACAGACTGTACCTTCTCAGTGCCTCGACACTGCCAACAGGACGACATCCCTCATGTCACTTGAAGGCAGCAGACTACCTTAGGGAGCAAGACACAGATCTCTCTGCCTGTGGCCCTGTGCAGGTTTGGTTGTATTTAGTGTGCAAGAGCCATCACATAACGTTTAGAAAAATTTAAGTTCATTAAAGTATCTTTCACATGGCATATTTCATCTTGCTGTGTGATGGCTGTGCTGTTGTTGTGTGCCTTCAAGTCATTTCCAATTTATGGCAATCCTAAGGCGAACCTATTACAGGGTTTTCTGGGGCTGAAAGTGTGTGTCTTACCCAAGGGCTTCCATGGCTGAGCAGGGGATTGAACCCTGATCTCCAGAGTCATAGTCCAATGCTCAAACCACTATACCACACTGATTATATTCACCCTCATTTTGATATGGACACATTATTTGGTGAACTGTGGGCCTTTGCAGACTGCTAGAAATAGTACAAATTGAGTCCACTTTAACTGCCCTGGCTCAGTGCTAGGGAATCATGGGAAATATATTTTTTTCTGAGATATTGAGCCTTCTTTGTCAGAGAGCTCTGGTGTTACAATAAACTACAGTTCCCATGATTCCCCAGCACTGAGTCAGGGCAGTTAAAGTGGACTCAGTTTGCACTATTTCTGGCAGTCTGCAAAGGCCCTGTGTCAGCTTATCCTATGAGCTCCATGGCTGAGATGGACCTTGAAATTCATTGCATATATTGTGGATACATTTTCCTTCAGGCTATGTGTATAAGGTATAAGTCAGACAAGGCTGCACCCTTTCACCCTATCTGTTCAACTTGTATG